ACAGGAAGTTGGATTTATTGGTGGGCATGAATATGACGGGAAGGGATAGTGCCAAGGTTCTCATGAGTGCAGAGCCCTCCATTTGTCCAAGGGACCACGGTTAGGGATGTATTTGACCCCACAGCCATCTGGGATAAGCTGCTTTTCAGCCACCATGTCTTCAAATTCATCTGCATTGAACTTAGTAAAGCCCCACTTCTTGGAGATGTGGATCTTCTGGCGGCCAGGGAACTTGAACTTGGTCCTGCGTAGGGCCTCAATCACATGCTCCTTGTTCTGCAGCTTGGTACGGATGGACATGATGACTTGGCCAATGTGGACCCTGGCTACTGTGCCCTGGGGCTTTCCAAAGGCACCCCGCATACCTGTCTGCAGCCTAAATTGGAGATAGCCATGAGGTCAGACCCCAGCATCCACCAAAAGGGCTGTCTCCAAGGTCCCTTAGGGCAACCCGTACAATCAACAGGCTGCATACACTACCGAGGAGCCTACTGTTTGCAGCCATGGCACACTGGGCCCCCATAGACAAAGAGCACAGTTGGCTTAATTGGCTGCAGAGGCTCTGTCCTTTCTAGGGGCATTTAGGTAGAGAGCCCACAGAGCAATGCTGTCTGTTTGATGGAGGGGCTGCCCAGCTGATGAGACCCGTGGTGGAACCGCTGAAGCAGGCGGCCAGGGGCAGGTTTTCCTCTGGGGCTTCATGGAGGGCTGAGCTGCCAACAGACCTCAGGTAGCCATATAGGACCGGACAGTGGGGTTTGCAGGATTCCCACTCACACCTGTGCTACATAATTACAATTATGATCAGGCCCATTGTGGAATACTTCCTATGTGCTCAGCACTAGGAATCTAGGTGCTGTTATTTTGGTTTTTAAAAAGCGTCATCATTTACAATCAGCATTTTCCACAAATGCATACGGACCGTGAGGCTTAAGGAATGGGGCCAGATGGTGAATTAGAACACATTGTAGGGGAGACAGCTCCTGCAGGTTGTTCCAGGTCTGAGAGGGATGAACTGCTGAGTTTGCATCTCACTGTGTGAGAAAGCTAAAACCCTAACCAGGTGAAACGTTGGTACAGAGACCTGCTGTGTAGTGATGAAGCTGGGTAACTGAGAAGAGGGGAGAAATGAGGACCACCTTCCATCCGGGACAGCGCTGCACAGCCTCACAGTCACCTGCCACGGCCCCGCCCTCAGGTCTCTGGGGGACGCACAGCTGTGGGTTCTCAGGCGGCCACGCCCAGCTCGGGTGATATCCCGTCTGTGCAGCTCCCTTCTTCTGATTACATCACAGCCTACGCACACCTCCCTCTGAGACTCACCATCACGTATAATGATCCTCTGTGGTTTACTGCCTCTCCCGCCAGGTCAAAAAACCTTTTGAGATCAGATATTAAGTTATCCTTATCCTTGGTATTTCCAGAGTCAGAAACATAGTAGGTACACAATGAATCAATAATTGTTGAGCAACCAACGAAAGTCACATCCCTGCTTGAAGCCCTATCCTGGTACCTCCCTTTTTGGTCAAGGACTACACTTTCCTTCCCTCTGTGAGCCGCAACTACAGGACCTGGGAGCCTCTTAGAGATGGAGACCCCGGGCCCCACCCTCAGCCCCACCATACCATAGCCGGGGGCCAATGGGGACAGGCATTTGCAGTTTAGCAAGTTCTCCCAGGGATTCTGACGCCAACGGAGACCAACAGCCTCAGAGCCTCCTTGCCCAATCTGCCAGCAGGATTGGGCAAAGTGCTTCCTTGTCATCACCAGACCTTCACTCATACTTTTTCTTCCAGCCAGAATGTGCCCCTCCATGCTTGTCCTGGAAGCATCTTCCAGATGAAGAGAGAAATAGATGCAAAAATCCAGAAGCCCGAGGGCGTACCACGCTCTTAGGAGGCTGCAAATTGCCTATAAGGCTGGATTGCAAGGTCCCTGGGGGAAGTGCAAGGGTTGAAGTTAGAAAGGTAGACAAGGAGCCTTATCACGAAGGCTGCATTTCTCTTATATTTCATTCCAAGACGCTGAGATTTTATTTTGAAGTTCTGACAGATTTTAGAGTTTGAGATTGCTGAGGCAAAACAGTTCAAAATATAAACAAGATCTAGGAAGTACACTTGGCTGGCTATGGTGGGGGCGTGCTTTCAGTGAAATGGAGATGAAGACGCTACATTTCGTCTTCCCCCAAGAGCCTCGCCTGTCCCAAGTCTGCATGCAGAGTCGCCCTGACGCTGGGGAGCCTGCCGGCCAGGAGGCTCCCACAAGTCTCTACCGTAGCAGTGTGTGTGCTCATATCCCCCGGTGGGCGTCTGGGGGAGAGGCAACCACGTGCTTCTCCTTTTTCTACTCCCAGTGCCTGGAGCATAGGGGCTTAATACATTCGTTCCACTGAGTGATTAGGAGGGCTCTGCTCCAACTGCCCTTTGAGATGATAAGGAGTCACAGTGTGAGAGGTAGAGTGGGGTCCCAACCACGGCTGTGTGTTGGAGGAATCTGAGAAGCTCTGAAAAGGACCAACACCTGGAACCCACCCACGGGCTTTTATTTCACTGGTCTATCATGTGGCCGGTCTAGAAGCTTCTGCCCCAACAGAGCGCTTGGGCCAGCTCAGCGGGGATCAGACTTGAAAACCCTTAAAGACCTTATATGCAGTTGGGTTTAGTGGAGAAGGAAAGGAAGGACGGCCCATCCTCCTTCCCTCTTGTCCCTCATCCTTGTCATTTATTGAGGAGCTGGCAGTTTGACTTGCGGGGGTCCCTCTCTCTACCCCCACTGCCTCACCCTCACCATCTATCACCTTAATTCTTTTTTTCCCCCAAATTTTATTATATTTTTAAGTAGGCTCCATGCCCAACATGGGGCTCGAACCCACGACCCTGAGATCAAAAGTCACCTGCTCTACTGAATGAGCCAGCCGGGCATCACTATTGCCTTCATTCTTGGCACCGTCAACATCAGTGTGTGTGATCCATGCAGACATCCCAGCTTCCGATTCCTTGACCTTCCTAACTTTAGACACCTCCATCCCTGCTAGATTTCAGCCACCCACTCCCCATCCGGCCTGCTGCCTGGATCTTGCTTATGTTTTGATTCCACCTTAAACATCCCAAGCTCCAATACCTGCCTATGAGGGACTCTGCCTCCCTAACAGGGCAAGGACGGGTTAGGGGGCACATGTCTCACATCTGCAAGTGTTCAGCGGAGGCAGATCCCACCCCACCTGCTTCAGGGCTGAGCCGAGATCTGAGGGTCTGAGAGCTGGCTCAGGAGCCCACCTGTGACCCAATGCTGGCCACGGAGCATGAGGGGGCCCCCTGCAATGTTGTGGGAGAAGGTTCCTTGCTCCAAAGAGCAAGTCATCAGAATCCATCACTTCCATTGCTTAACTCCT